CGCAATCGCTGCTCCTGCGCAAACAGGGGCAAACCCGCCAGTTACTTCCGGGTTTGCGCAGTCGCGACTTGAAACAACCATAAGAAGAGGTGGTGGTAAGTGGAGGTTTGACTGTAATAGATCTTATCCTCCTATCATCCAGGGTAGGTATCCCAGGACTTGTTTTAACCCAAACATGCATTTCAGGACCCATTTCTTAATTAATCTTTTACCATATATTTGCATGATGGTAGTAGTCTTGTTGTGACCCACCTTGAATCAGGCTGCAACCCGCTAGTGGGTCCCAACTGACCAGTTGAAGACCAGTGTTCTTTAATGCAAGCCTTGTGTGTCCAGTGATAATATATCCAATGCATCATGGCGTTCAGCCAGCTACACTGCCTGCAGCAAAACTGATTTGCTGGCCTCCTTTTCACCCAACACCAGGATTGTATACCCAGAGGTGAACCAATTGTGAATGAAAAAGTCAGGCTACATTGGAAGGAGAGACACACCTGAGACTGCCTGCCTAACACCAGCTTGAGAAAGTGGCTGTGTGGGTTAGCTATATAGCCACATATTATTTCAATTATATGAATCATTCAAATTACATAATTTAAAATACACAAGACCAAATAGTTGCTATACATGTTCAGAAGCCATCTTGAGCTAATGTTTATCAAATATCAAAACGTGACACACATGCACACAAAGCTTACTTGGCAACTGCTAGTTAGGGCGTAACCAAAGAGAGACTTAACAACAAGTGTTATTTCTCCATGACCTGACCCTTAAAGTGCTATGTTTCTGCCAGCCCAATCAACTGTAACACAGCTGACATGGCTGGAACACTTTGAGGATTAGGCCACACAAACATTTCCAGTTCTACTGTTCTGATGGGTGCAGCAAGTTGCAACAAATTCAGAATTACATCACAGGACTGAGAGAACTGTTCCTGGGATAGCCATGCGGCACACCTGGCCTATCACATTATTGGATCAGTTACTCTGCTGGTCATTGCCAGAGCCTTATGTGCCTCCAAAGAAATGAGCTTCATCATAAAGAGTTCTGCTTTAACGAGAAACAGCTGGTTTTCAACTGGGAGTAAAACCCCAACATTAACACATATTTGTCTGTAAATGTAATTGCCTCATAATGGAAGAACAGCAGGTATCAATCTGTTTATTAAGATTGGGAAGGGAAGGTGGGAGAGGCTCATTCCATTCAGTTCCATTGACAGAAAGTAACTTAGGATCCAAGCCATAGAAAGCTCTGTGCTCAAACAGCAGTTTCCATAAGGCTCTATATGAGTCTTGCACATGACAATCCTCGCTCACCAACTACCTCCACTCAGCGCTTCAGAGCACACTATGGCCCAACAGGGTTATTCAATAGCAGCTGATGCTCTGCTGTGTTCCCAACTCTGCCCCGGGATTCAGATGTGCAGAAGAGCTAAAGAAGCATGAGAAGAGTGCCATACACGGGGGGCCTGGGGAAGAGCCAGCAATGGGAGGATGCTACAGATATTCAAAAGGGCAATGGCTGCTATTGAATGGCCCTATAGCAGGAATGACTAGACTCTGCCCCCCCCAAGATGTTGCTGGGCTCCAACTCTCATTAGCCCCGGACAGCACAACCAGTAGTCCAGATTGATGTAAGCTGTAGTCCAGCAACTGCCCTACACAACATGCTCAGTGAAGTTTTGTGGGAACAACTGGTGAGGTTGGAAAAGTCTATCTGTAGGAGTCACTCCATGAGCACAAGGTGCAATATTGCTACCGTAGTAAAGTAACTTTAAAACATCAGTAAGTTTAAAAAGAGAAGAAAAAATAGATCTTAGCCCTTTACATGAAGGTATTCTGGTAAAACATAAAACGTTAACTTTAAAATAGTCCATTGTTTCTCTTGCAACATGTCTCCATTGTTTACAATCAGGTTTTTTGTGTGTTGTACTTAGTCCAAACTACTTCCCTGAAGGATATGCTTAAGTTGCTAAAATAATACATTTGACACTCAACACACCACCTTTTGCACCTTTCAAAAATGTGGTACTTCCCCCTCAAAACATCCTTTGCTATTGCAGGTGCCACATGAAATGCAGTTTGTACAGATACCCTGGGCAACTATCACTTGTTGCCTGTAATGTTAACATACACTATTCATAAAATGCCTAAAAGAAACAAGGTAATGTGCAATACAAAAACATAGAATAAAGAGAAAGAAACCCCTGCTGGCCAGCCTCACAAATATATTGTAACAAGTAGCACTACTCTCCTTTGTCAGTCCCAAACTTAACTTCATTCACATTCTTCTGTGGCTGTTTACTCTCCCACTGCAAAACTTCAACACTAGTGTGTTCATCCAATATATTTTCTTCCACGTGGCAAAGAGTAACAGATCGAAACATAGGGATGCCATATTTCAAACAGTGAAAACCTGGACAGAAAAGTTGCTGAGCTTTTTTCTTTATGCCAAATCTATTGAGCTTTTTTAAACCTTTGCCAAAAACTGTTGAGCTTTTTGGGCAAAATTGCTTTTTTAAAAATGCAATTTTTAGCAATTTTTATGGAAAAACAGCAATAATAGCACTGCCAACATGGGCTGCCAAAAGTCCAGATTGTACCAGACATTTTTTACGATTTCCGCCCGGGCACTGCTGCCAACTACAGTATTCCGAATATGTCCAGGAAAATCCGGACATATGGCAACCCTATCGAAAACTCCCTGCCCCAAAGCTCATTCCTCTTTACTATGAGGGGCAGAATGTTTCCCTTGGATCAAGGCTTGTGGGAGATGAGTGTAAGGCCTGAGGGGACTGTGTGCTGTAAAATAAAGACATTTACAATGCGGTTTGTTCTTATATGAAGAATATTGGGTATACAATGGAGCATCTCTTGCAGATATCTGCAAAATAACATGCTGGTTTATTTGTGTCTTTATATCACAATGTATTGCTTCTGAAGCTCTTAGAGATGACTTACATACAGGCTATGTAATCAGTCTTGTACTCAAAGCACATAATCCAACAGATTATGCAACTGAATAGCTGTAGTAGCCTGAAGGTATTTTATGCTTGAAACACCAAAGCATCTGCAGAGATATCCTTTAAGTCACAGTATCTCTTAACCTCAGTGTAACCACTACATGAGCTAACTTGTTAGGACTAAAACAAGACAGATAAAAGGATCAGATTAAAGAAGATCAAAAGCACTAGTATTCACCCTGAAAAACAAAACTGATTCAGTTCTTTTATGCAATGAAGTTTCGGCCATTTGTTTAGAAGGGTCTTTATAAAGGCAGAATCTGACCCAATGAGGGAAGGGAGAGAAATTCAAGACCCCTAAAATGTAGACTATAAGAGCCAAAGCAGACTGGTTCTGGTGACTAAAGCATCATGTAATTGATGGCTGAGCATATAATACCTTCAAAGATGTTACATAACTTAGAAAAATGGGCATGGGGCAAAGATATCGCTGCATCAAGATCACCAGTTCCAGGCAAGTCTTAGCTCCATGCAATATTATCTCCATCTGGTAGTTATTTGAAGGGTCTACGAAAATAGTTAATCTCATTCCATTTCCATATGTTCAACATATTTTTATCTACCACAACCAGCATACTGACTGTAAACCAAAGGATTAGCCACTGTTTAAATGTTTTTAGTTCTCCTTTCTCAAGATTGCCCTCAGAACAAGAATAAAATCAGCTAATGGCAGCAAGTACCAGTCTGCATTCCTACTGATTTTTACTTTAGAGAAAGGCTGTATTTCAGTGGTAGAGTGCATGCTTTTTTGTTCAGACAATCTCAAGTATGATCCCCTGCATCTCCGGGTAGGTCTGGAAAAGAACCCTTCCTAAAACTCTGGAAAACCGCTGACCCACCTGTACAAGCAATACTGAGATAGATGGGACAATGATCTAACTTGATAGAAGACAACTTTCTAAACTGTAGCTCACTCCATCACACATTACACTAATCCTCTGTTTACAAATGTTTTATTAAGCAAATGAGTAATTTTCCCCCGTTTCCAAACCATTAAAGTGCTGCTGATTTAAATTAACCATTTATTTAATGCTTCTGTTACAAAAAAACTTGCCTTGGTGTTCATTTAAGCAGCCAGCACTGTGATCTCTCTACAGAGAGGAAACCAACATTTAGCAGTTGGTTCAAAATCAGCAGCTGCTCAGTAGCTTAAAAGGAACCTTAGTGGCTCAGGTTTTGTTCCCACTGACCATGACTGATAGATAGCATTTAGGTTTAGCTTATTCCTCTTCCTCTGAAGATGAAGATTCAGCGATTTCTATTCAAAGAGACCAGTGTCATAAGCAAGCCACCACTGGGTATCTACCCTTAGGTTGTAGCCCTGGTCAAACAGCAGCATCTGTATACATTGAGCACCAATATGAGTGGGAACTAAGCAAGCTATAGTTCTGGACTAAGAAGGGTTAGGGATAGAAGAGTGAAGACACAAAACTATATTTATTATTATTATTATTATTATTATTAACTGGTTGTAGGGGAGGAAGAAAGAGGGCAAGTGCAGGAACCCAAGGGTCACCCAGACTCATTCATGACAACCACAATTCCTGACCACAGCAAGTTGTTATGGGAAGTGGGCTTATAAACTAGGTATCCATGACGAAAAAGAAATGTGTTTGCTTTGACTATACAAAAAAGCAAGTCTCTAAACCTTGGTCAGGATCTTTCCCCTTCCTCTAAAACCCCTTTGCAATGCCCTATACATCTGAAATGCTACCCCTTACCTCACTTAATTCCAAAAAGAAAAATTCAAGAGTAACTACAAAGCCAAACATCTGGAATTTGGGGCTGCCCATTCCACCAATAATAATAATAGTAATAATTTTATTATTTATACCCCGCCCATCTGGCTGGGTTTCCCCAGCCACTCTGGGCGGCTTACAGCATATATAAAAAACTGCAAAACACCAGACATTAAAACATTTCCAGATACAGGGCTGCCTTCAGACACATTGTGCTTCTTCAAAGTTTATATTCTTACCTCAAGTTTTGTTTGTCTGATCACTCATTAACATAATTGAAGTTCCTATTCCTTTTGTCAGCATCACTGTACAATATACCCAGGGAGCATTTCAGCTGTAAAATACAGGGGGACAAAGAAAAGAGAAATATTATTTTATAACCATGTAGGAAATGGTTTGACCTCGTAGTAAATTCTGACTTTTAGAACAACCCTTATAGTACACTCCCACCCTTCTCTGTACAGTTAAACTCATTTTCACTACACCGTAAATATACATTAATGCGAGTGTTACTGGCTTTTGCCTTAAACATGTCCCAGCACCTTGACTCTAAAATCTCAAGTTGCTTGAGAAAGTATAAAAGGAAAAGGATAGGAGCCCAGGGCAAGCTAGTTGCAAGGGTGTACTTCCTATCTCTCATATCCACATGAAGTTCTTTCACCCCTTCAGGTCCATTCACAATGTTCCTTAATGAAACAGAGGGTGGAATTGAGGGGAGAAGATCCAATAAAAGGCCTCTTCTTCGCTGTAATAGCCCAGCGTGCGGAATGCTCACACATGCATGCCATGACTGAACTCTTATAGTCTATAGCAGGGGTCAGCAAATTTTTTTAGCCGTGGGCCTGTCTATTATCCCTCAGACCTTGTGGTGGGCTAGAGAAGCAGCACAGAGGGGGAGCTGGAAGAAGAGGTGAGGGGGGCAAGTAGTCCTCCTCCCTCCCCCCAGCTGCTGCGCTTACCTTCCCAGGGGCTACCGCCACCACCACCACTACCACCGCTGCTACTCATGGGTAAGCAGAGTGAGTTCATCCGCTCCGCTCTCTGGCCCACAGGAGCACCAGGGCAGCGGCGAAGGGACAATAAGTGGCACAAAAGGGCTGGCTCCAGAGAGGGGCTGCGTAAAATGGCGCTCAGCCAGCCCAGCCCAGCCCAGTTTCCTTCCTCCTCTAGGCAGGGCGGGGAGAAGCCAGGAGGGAGGAGGCGCCGCCGCGGTGTGTGTGTGGGGGGAATGGAATGGCTCGGGGGGGGGGGAATGGCGCAGCCCGAACAGAATCCCTACTCCGATCCAAGGACAGTCCGCGAGCTGGATCCTGAAGGCAATTGGGTCTGATCCGGCCCACGGACCTTAGTTTGCTGACCCCTGGTCTATAGGAATCTTGTGTGTAAGTGCTGTCTTCACAGCAGGCTAGATTATACCAAATACAAATGCCAACATCTTAATACTGTATATTTTTGCTTTTTCTCAAAGATGGGCAGATTAGAATTGAATCAGGAATGTTTTTTTCTATATCTAATTTAAACAGTCAGTTGCTTTGCCACAAGAGATTAATTTTTATAGCACCATCGGTTGTTTCAGGAGGCTCAAGCAAGAAAAGATCAGCCCTTGAACTAGTTTCTGTGCCCTGGAAGATTTACATCTGTTAAGCTGCAGGAGAGGGGCTATAGCTTGTGTTGCTCACATGATTTTCTCACAAAACACCATAGGTTCTATCTTGGGTCCCAGTTGAAACTTTGCCAATCAGTGTCAACAGTACTGACACTAGATGTACCAATGATCTGTCTCAGTTATTAGGCAGCTTCTTGTGTACTACTATTTCCTGAAAAAATGACTGGACTGGGTGGTAAATTGGCTGCTGAAATAAACAACTGTGTTCAAATTATATTCAACAGGAGAACTGACATGGGGGGGGGGGGAACAAGTGAATAATAATTATATTTTAAAATATATTTATTTATTTTATATAGAAATTTCTATCCTACCCTTCTGGTGCATATGCACAACTCAGCACAGCATACAGTAACTTAAAATCACATCAACACCACCCACTTCACTGCCCCACTAAAAACATAACAAAAGCGAAGACCAAAAACATAATCCAACCTTTACACAAAGCTGCTGATACTTAGCAGGCAAAAGCCTGCTAAAAAAAGAATGTATTTACCAACAGGCAGGTGGGGAGTTGAAGGCTACATGTTTCAAGAAACAAGATACAGTACTGTATTCCATAACATTGGTGCAGCCGCTGAGAAGGCCCTATCTTGTGCTGCTCTCAGCCATGCTCCCATCAACCATGCCTTCACCCCAGGTTGAACACAGAGATGGGCATCTCCTTCTGATTTTAGGGAGCAAGCAAAAGACTACTATGGAAGGAAGTAACTCCTCCGATATTGTGGACCCAAGCTATTTAAAGCTTTAAAGAGAATCATTGAAGTCTCAATTTGTTACCAGAAACAACTGGCAACCAGTGCAGACCTACTGCTACATTCTGAGAAGTTCAGCAGAACCTATAGGGATGTACTCCCTCTGTTTAGTTCCCAGTGGAGGTTGTCTACAAAGTCAACCAAAGCTGCTTTGGTTCCAACTTCAGGCATGAAGCCAGACTGAAATGGATCATAATCCATTTTATCCAAGAAACCTTGAAGCTGATATTCTACTATGCCTTCGTGTACCTTGCCAAAAATGGTAAACTTGAGACTGGTTGGTAATCGTCCAACATGATGGGGGGTTTAGAGGGGACCGTTTCAACAGGGGGTTGTAGGTAGTCAGGAACTCCTTTTACATAGGTCAGCGCTCCTGTGAAGGTTCCTGTCAGTCTGGAGGCAGGTACAAGCATTCAAAATCTGTCAATGACAAGAGGACCGTACACTGTCCCTCCATACCTCTTGTTCAGAACAAAAACAAAAACAAAACAAAATTCAATCCCAAAGTGTATTCTGCTATGTGAAGGAGTCCCAATATACTGTATTTTTCGCCCTATAGGGCGCACCGGCCCATAGGGCGCACCTAGTTTGGGGGGGGGAATAAAGAAAAAAAATTATTTCCCCCCCAGGGGGAGCTTCCCCCGACCCCAGAACAGGCTGCTATCCACAAGCCTGGGGAGCCCGGCGGGAACTCCCACTGGGCTCCCCAGGCTTGTGGATATCTGCCCGAAGCCCGGGGCGCGCTGCTCAGGCTTCGGGATGCAGGCTGCTATCCGCAAGCCTAGGGAGCCCGGCGGGAACTTCCGCGGGCTCCCAAGGCTTGCGGATAGATTCCTGAAGCCTGGAGAGCGAGAGGGGTCGGTACGCACTGACGCCTCTTGCTCTCCAGGCTTCAGCGAAAGCCTGCATTCGCCTCATAGGACGCCCTTCATTTTTGGAGGGGGGGGAGTGCGTCCTATAGGGCGAAAAATACGGTAATTTGGGATAGCCCCACAGTTCCTGTGGAGGGCAGAAAGTCCTGAGGCATTTCCAACAAGGTGGTCTTTGCATGGATGTCGAAGTCACTCAGTAACAACAGGCTGGGAAACTCCAACAACATGGGAAACTACCCTAGCTAGGTCACATAAAGAGCCTGTTATACAACAGAATCTCCCTTCTGTGCCAGCCACCTACCTCAAAAACAAACACTCAATGATTCAAACAGGGCACTAGGTCAGGGTGGGTGGAATCATGATAGACCACAGCAATTCTGCCTCCCTGCCTGCCCATACATGCACAGCTTAGCTGATGGCTCTACAGAGAAACCTGGTACAGTGCTAAAATATGTTTACCCATCCACTTCTTCCAAGCATGGCTCTGCAATACATTCCAGGTCAGATCCTGGGAGGTCATGTTTTACCACATACTGACAATGGCATTCAAAAACACCACTTCCAGACTGGAAGGATTGCCACCATACGCACAAGGACCTTGGTTGACAGGTGAATTGGAAGGATAAAAGTATACCATCCAGTTATCCTTCCCTCTCTGGGACTCTCTGTGAAAATGAAAATAGCAGTTTGCAGATTGTGCAACTCTTTTTTCTCTCTTGCTTAATTTAATTTAAAGTACAACACCCCCAAAATGGGGGGGGGGGAATCAAGCATTCGAGATCATTATTCTTTTGAGATGAAACTAGATAGTAATCATCTTGTCATGAGTTTTTCTAATGATCTGCCACTTACAGACCAGACAGACAGGAGCCAACTCTCCTTATGCAATAGAGTATTTTGTAGGGCGGGCAAGCAACCATGTGCTCACCTTCAGAATGCATAGTATCCTTTGAGCTGTATACTTAAAATAAACCCAAAGCGGGTTCTCCATGTATCCAACTCAATGCTCAAAGGAACAAGGACTAATGGACACTGTGCCTTGTTAGGGGTGCTGGGAAATGTAGCTCTGTGAGGGAGAACTATAGTTTCCAGGATTCTTTTGGGGTATGCGCATTAGATGTGCTTTAAGCGACTGGTATGAATCTGCCCACATACTCCATGAGGCAAGACCATATGCAAGAGCATGCTGTCAGAAGATAGGCAACAGCTAGAAACCATTCTGCCTTGAGGATTTCCCATTTTTTCCCTGACTCCAGCCCTCAGTAAAAGAGCTGGTTCCAGGCAAGTATGGGACAAGATGAAAAGGATGGAATTGAGGTAAGCGACAACACATCTGGACACTAAGCTAACAGCTGCTGGAAGGAGGATTCACTCAGTTCCTGACCGTCACCTTTGTGCACGGTCACTGAACATGCACTGCTACTTCCTTAGACCCCTTCCACATCTGCAGAGCCTATTGGTTCTTCACTAGGGTCCTACAAGTGAACATACAGTACAAAGTATTCCCCTGTCAAAGATGCCAGTCCTAGCCAGATTTGTTCCGTAAGTCTCCTTGGAGGTAGACCTCACAGGAGACTGAAACTGCAGTTTACCATGTGACGGGTGGTGGAGAGATGAAGGAGCACACCTGCTGATTGTGTATTTACTATTCCTACACAAAGATCTTCATGCACAACAGCTGAGGCACACAAAAGAACTGAGCATGAGTGTATCTGTGTACACATCCCATAAACAGAAGGCTGGCACAGGAGTAGTTGGGGAAGAGAATCTGCTGAGCAAATTTAGGCCAGAGACAAGTTCTGGGGATTTCAGGTTAGTGTCACTTGGCGGTAAGCCCTAATGTGATCTACTAGATTTTTTAATTGAATCCAGGGGCCAGGATCGGTACATCTTTAAACAAAAATGAATTCAGTGCTTTAGACATACAACTCTTAAGAAGCATAATCTACAATTAAGAGTCAATGTGCCTAAACATTAAAAAATAATAACAACAACACGTTTTTGAGTATTTCATCTAATAAAACTTTGCAGATAGCCAGTC